ATGAACGCGGCAACTTGCGGGTATCCGGCATCACCCAAAGGACCCACGATCACCGTGGCCACAAGTGAGCCGGCCATGATAAAAACCCAAATCCAACTAACGAGTGCTGGACCAGGGCCAGGGACACGGCGCATCATACGGCTGTAGTGCCCTTCCAGTAAAATGTCCACAGTAGCCTTGGTGAAGCAGTTTACAAACACCAGCCCAGCAGCCACCTGAGCGCTCGAGGAAGCAGCAGGTAGTAAGCCGAATACAAGGGAAAGTGGGGCGCCAACAATACACGCACCAAACATGTACCATCGTTTGGAGTATCCAAAAAATGCAACCATATCACTTACAACAGCTGCAAGGGGCTTAATAGACCAACCCAACATAGACACATTCTCCAAACGCTGATAAGTTGTGCCATCCAACCCGTACCGCTGCGTAAACATTGCAAAGAGAGACAAACTAACCAAATAGTCTGACACACCCTTGCACATGAAGTACGACATAGCAAGGGAAAATACTGGCTTGGGACCATATCCCTCCACTGCCTCCCCAAACAAGGGAATGTATCGCAGAAAGCCCTTGTTTGAGAAGAACTCTTTCGCCTCAGGATGAACAAAACGTGGCTCGACAGTCATTTCATTGCTCAGTGGTGGAGCGGTGTCATCACTGTTCGATGAGAAAGCGTCGTGCCTCGCACCACCACCGTCTGAGTTGGCTTCTGGCCTTGACATTTTTCTTTTCTTTTCTTTACTTTTCTTAACTTTTTACTTATTCTCTCCGAACCACACACAAGAGCAATTCAAAGTAGAGCAAACAGAAAGAGGTATGTACACACTAAGAACGGTGTGTCACTCAGTGAAGAATAAAGGCAAACACAAGAAAGAAGAAAAGAGGTGCACAAGAATCCCACTATCTATATTTTCCTCCCACTCACACACTCACACATATATACGCCTTATCTTTATATTGCTCCAACGCGTTCGGTACGTCATTCCACTCATCATGATTATCCTTTTGTTTGCTTTTCCACGGCTCTTGTTTGCCTACACAGATGCCATGTACTCAAGCAACTCTACTGCGATATCCAAGTGTCCCAGGTTCTCCATCAGACGGCAACACCTGGCCTGGCTCTCGGGCGTCATGTCGCCCCGTCTTCTCCACAAATTCTCCAACAGCGTCACCAACACGTTTCGGTATTGCTCTCCTATTCCAATACACTGCATGGCCGCAATCGTGCTGAGGGTTTCCTCCACGTTCATATCGCCAACATGGCTACTAACGGCGTCACACAAGGGGCTGAAGCGATACGAATCAATCTGCGAACCGCCACAGCTGCTTGCAATAACAGTAAAGAGGTGAGACAGCGTAGCTGTAGGCTCGCCACCTAAATGACGTGGTCGTATCTGCTCTGTCAGGTGAAGAACACGTTCCTTCGGTGATGTTGCCCAAGTACGAAGCAGCACCTCCACAGGGTTTTCACCGGACTCTAAATTAGGTTGCTGTGGAATCATTGGGTGCTCGTGTACTCCAACAGCCAAAAGCGTGTTCATAACGAATGGGCCATCGGATGGATCAACATCGTAGCGTAGTCGTTCCGTGAGTACACCTATTGTTCTTACAACCTTTCCTGTCCACGACCGCTTTAGTTCCTCCGGAACCGACTCTAATGGTATGTTACCCAAACTGTATAGCATTTTACAGCGTTGTTGCGTTGTCATGTTACCAATGCATCTTCGAAGCGTCCGTGCCATCATCAGACGATACTTAAAGTGTGTGATGTCCAGACAGGCCAGTGCGTGGCCGACACATAAATACCACTCTGGTGTCAGTGCATCATCTGGCGATGAATTAAACTCTAGTGGATCAGTGGGACGTAGCGCATGTAGAAAAATACCATCCATCAGACTACGTTCGTTGGGTGGCGGCTGTCGAAGCATTGCAAGACCAACTACATGCTGTCGCACAGCCTCCGCGTTGCATTTTTGGAATTCAACCATGCTAGAGAAGAATTTCTGATGTATATGCCGGTGTTGAAGAATACCTAAGCTGTATATAATCTGTGCAAATTGTTGACTCGTGACAAGTGCGTGTGTAGAGAAGAGTACTTCACAACAAGCGTTGCAGAGTTCGGCATCATAGAAACCCATCTCAGCCATGGAGCTTAAACAGATGCCTGCATCCAATTTTGAGAGTTGTACATCACGCAGCGCCCTGAGAATGCACCTAGAGTGGGCACATTTTTGTACCTTCGCCTCCATCTGCACCTTCCCTTTTATAGGTAACAATCCGGTAATATCAGCACTGACAGGACTAAAGTGAAAATTTTCACCATACACAGTATCAGAACCTCTAAGAAGTGAGAGAAGAGTTGAAGTGTGTGGTCGTATTTGATTTTTCTGCCATTTCTGCATCGTGTTATTGAATGATGCAGCTACAAGTGGCTTTATAGGTGAGACAAATAATGGTGTGGTGGTATAGCCAGATTGCTTGGCAGAGTTCTCTCGATTACGTGAGAGTAACACAAGCGACCGAAGCACCGTCCCAGACTCATTTACATCGCCGTGATTGCCGTCGACATATGACTCGGCAAGCCGCGCTGCACACTCCAGAGCTTCATGTGCAGGATCCGTGTTTGCGCGTGAGAGCAAAGTGCCACAACTCCTCAGGAACAAGGGAACATATGGTAAATTTTTTTCTTGTGGCTGAATAATATCACAATTGTGTCGGATCAGTTCAATGGCCTCAGCGACAAGCTGCGTTGGATTTCCATCGCGGCGAATCATACGAACCTGCAAATGCCCCAGCTCTTCACATACAGCTCTAAATCTGGAACACATTTACAGAAGCAAATTCACTTGTTCACTCGCCTAATGCATTCCTTTGACAGCAAAGATGGTTAAAAAAAAGAGAGAGCCAAACACTAAATGCAGTAGCAACAACAGATCAGTAGTAGTAGTAAAACAGGGCATGTACAAAAAAAAAAAAAAGAATAATAAGAGAATAAGGCTGTGAAACCTGAGTGTGATTCACGTTAGAAGAATAGGAAGAAAGGAGAGAAAGAGAAAAAGTGTATAACACACAAACACACACTACACACCTCTATTTTTTTCTTTTTTTTTTTTTTTTTCATCCACTTATGCGACACAGAGAAACTAAAATTCGTAGAATGCGCTATTACGTTGGAGAGTAGGTGATGATGATTCGGCCTTATTGGTGACTCCTCTCTCGCAACTTCCACTTCCCCCAAAAGAGTTTTGCAGGGCGAAATCGCACTCATCAAGCATTTCAGGATTGTATCCTCCGACAGAACCCAATAAGCTCCCCCCACCAAAAACACCGGGTGCACCACTACTTCTAGTAGTGTTTTCACCACTGCCAATACCCAAGACATCGTCCGCTGCACCGCGTTGTGAAGTTGAGCGTAACTCCATACTCACCCCAACACGTGGGGCCGATAAATTGTCACTTGATTCATCAGACCCATCACTCGTCTCACGAAGACGTTCCAAGAGCTTGCGTCGTTGTGGCGGTGCGGCTCGGTTTAGACCTATAGGTTTGAAATGTGCCCGCACTGGAGTTTGACCTCCCGACACAGTTGTTACCGCTATTGCACTTCCCAGAGCTAAGGACGAATGACTGGCGATAGGATAACCGTTCTCGTCCGTAGAAAGCCGCGCTTCTTCTTCTTCTTCTTCCCCACTCTTCTGCGGTGGTATGGAGGCAACACCGGAACCAAGAAAGGAGGCTAGTATGCCTTGCGAAAGACTGGCAGAGGCCAACCCATTACTGGTAACATCCAATGACGTTGCAGTTCCAGTCCCCTCGGGATGTGTACCACATTTGTTTCCGCTCGCATACAACTCATTGCCGCAAGTAGTGCCATGTGACTCCTCTACTTGAATGGCTCTAACCTCACTCATAGGTGATACATTAAGAGTCATCTGTTTTTGTTTCACCTCTTTTTTCTTTTTTTCTTTTTCTTTTTCCTCCACATCATTAACACGATGCCTTGGCTCATACCCAGTTCTATATTGATGTCTATGGGACATTTTCTTTTCCCTCATGCTTGGTCGATGCGGTGAAGACAATGCGGTAGAGGATGAGGAAGAGGAGGAAGAAGATGAAGAGCAAGAGGTGGATGAGTCTGATGTCACTGGTGACGATGATAATACTACGCGGTGACGCTGGCTGTGTTTTCTTTCCTTATTCCTTTTCTTTCCTCGCGAACTCCTCCGTTGTTGTCTGGCACGGCCTGTGTCTGTAACACCACCACGATGGGCTACTTCAATCGATGCTACGGCAGCATCCCTGCTAGCTACCACCAGGTTTTCAAAGAGTTGCACCCACTCAGGGGGAACGGTTTTCGGCAGGTGGGTACCACAAGAGCCACACGTTATTCTCTCTTGTGTAGACATATTTACAGTTTGAGGAACAGTCGCAGTGTCATTAGTGTTAACGTTATTACTGCCAGGATACATGTGGACTCTTGATGAAGACGGTGCCTCTACCGTTGTTGTCATGCGGCAAACCATAAGACGTAAACGTGTCACCTCTGCGCTTAGCGCTTCTACTTCACGTTGTAATGCATCCATCAACATGATATAGTGACTCTTTCTTGCCCGAGAAGAGTGATCGTTAGGGTGGTGAAAAGGTATAGAAAATAAAAACAAAAAAAAAAAAAAAAAAAAAAAAAAAAGGAAGAAGCAATTCATAACAGAAAAAAAAAAAATCATATAATTATGACTATGTGCTATGGTGAAAGTGGTTAGAGGGATATGAATAAAATGACGCAATTAGTACGTAGGGATATCAAAATATCTTAAATTTCGTGTTAAAACGTAGAATGCTTATTTTAGAAGAGTGTATCTAGCTTATACCTCTATATCCATAACTTCTTCAGATGGATTACTGGCATCAGCTTCCAGGTTAGATACGGAATGATAACCTTCTGAGCAGCACACAGCAAACTCTCTTAATACACAGGTGGCATACGATCCTGGTGGAAGGGAGAACTGTACTACAATGGCATGATGTAGTGGCTCTACTGTAGAAGAGTCATCTATTATATTAGTGCAGGTTCCTTCTTTTGAAGAGTTATCTGTTAAAATCTCTAAATCAGTTGGAATGATCGGATCCCGAGGACCCTTTGTACTCACAAGACGCATCTCCATTTTTGTTGGACGAACAACTAATGATCGGTATGCACCGTGATAATGAAACATCTTGACGAGATGATTATCGGCTTTCATAAGACCTTCTCCTTTAAAACTGGTGAGTTTTCGGACATACTCCTCACGAGTGCAGCATGGTACACAAGGGAATTGTAGATTTTCGTCCGGCCCTGGAACAGTAAGAAGAACATCTGTTAAATGAAAAATTCCTGTTGCCACATCCTCTGATGTCAAACACACTACTTCAGGAAGACCTTCTTCTTTAGAAAAAGAGTCATCATTCATATTATTATTATTATTATTATTATTATTATTATTATTATTATTATTATTATTATTATTATTATTATTATACTCATGATCATTATTATCATCGTTATCTTTAATATTATGTATATTTTTTTCGTCCCCGTTATTATTATTTTTTTCTTGTTCCCAAAGATATGTATAACGTGTTTTCAAAACCAAGTCACCAATGATAGGTTCTGTACCCAGAGCCAACCTTTCTGAAGCCATTATATTCCAAATCAAACTTTGAACTGCATGACAATAAAGCATTCCCAGTGTTCGTGGTATTGTTTGAAATGCACCCAAGAAATCATTAGGAAATCGTACCAAATGTCTCAATATATCACGTTCCTGAAAACAGTAACGTGGTAATAACTGTAAAGCCTCTTCAAATGAACCTCTTTCAACTGCTTTTTGTACTTCAACAAGATCAGGTGTAACAATAGCTTTTGAGCGAAATATTAAACATAGAGCTTCTTTAAAATCTCCTGCAAGCATATGTACACCAACTTCACTAGTCAAAACTTCAGTTGTACCAAAACGCTGCGGTCCGTAGTAATTAACTACACCTGTATGATTAATAACATTTTGAATCGTCTGTAATATATCAGGTGAAATATCCGGACTATCTGGCAACAAGCGGAGTGCTATATGAAAGTGATTACCTAAAGTGTCACCAAGACGCAATCCATTATCCAATTCCTTAAAACCGCAAACTTTTACTTTGCTATCTGGACCAAAGGAACAACTATTAATTTTTGAAAGTTTTCCTTCTGAGAGACCACGAACTGCAACACGTTGAAGAGTCACAGCACGTTTATCTTTTGTTCCACTAAAATTAAGTTGTCGCACAGATAAACCAAGGAATGTAGCGACAGCACGTAAAGCACGATTACTGTCTATATTCTCCTTATATAGTGTAAAATGCAGATACTTTTGTTTACGTAGAGGATTTGAACGACGATTCGCCTCTCTTCTCGTAGCAGATGTGGATTTTTCAATAAGAAAAGCGCCATCTTCTGTTCGACTTAAATGTGTTGCCCCAAGCAATTCCTTCACTGCCGCATGAATTTCTGTACGTTGTTGTTTGGTTAATGTGCTCACGAGCCGCACTGTTGGTGCCCCAGTACGTAATGCAGATAGAAGTAAAATCATATCTTCAGATGAAAGTAATGGCGAAAATTTATCTTGCACACGTGTTAATAACTCCTCCTGTTGGGAATCTACCTCAGTAACCAAACGTTTGGTTCCTTCTGTTTCCGTGTTATTATTATTATTACTACCTTCGCTATTATTCTGTTTATCCTCATCATCTCCTTCACGTTGTCGTTTCAACGTTGTTGTAGCCGTACCATTCTGTTTTTCTTCCATTTGCAAAGACTCTAATGTCAGTGGTATTCCATTATTGTACAGTGGAGACATCTCTCGCACCACAAAATCCGAATACAACGTTTTCAGTGAGACTGAGGGACGCACAAACGTCTTGTTCATATCTTCTTTGGCAAAATACGCATCAAGTAGAGAGAAGTACATCCCAATACGTTTCTCTCGATCGAGTGCCTTATTCATCAAGGAAGCATTTGTCATGTTTTCTTTTTTTTTTTTGTACAATAAAATAAAATAAAAAACAAGAATATATATGCAGACAGGTGCATAGAATGTTCAAGAGGAAAAGAAGAGAAGAGAAAAAAAAAATAATAAAAACAAAGAAAAGAGTAGCATAAATAATAATAATAGTAATAATAATAATAATAATTATTAGTAGTAGTAGTAGAATAGCAAAAAAAAAAAAAAAACATGTGAACTGCACTGTGTGAGGCAACAAAGTCAGTATGGCACAGAAAAACACAAAACAAATTGATAAATTAACTAAGAATATAAAAAGAAAAAAAAAAAAGAACAATAATTTTAATATAGAGACAAAAATAAAAATATCCAACAGCAACAACAACATAGAAATAACAATAATAATAATAAAAAAAACAGAAATAAAAAAAAAATGCAATTTTATTCATTCAACTCATTAGTCTTGAAACACAGCAGCCAGACGTGTTGCCACCGAAGGCAGTTCATCCGCAAAACGACGCAGATCAGATCCCAGCGTCGGTTTACCCTCAGCAGCCACACGTGCTAATGTAAGTAAATTCTCATTAAAATCCACTAACTGTTCAGAATCTCGTGGAAGTTGTAGTCGTTCCCAAACTTTTCGCTCCACTACACGAAATAATGGAAGTGTATACCATTTCGAACAAGCCACCAGTTTATACTCCAAAGGTAATGACTCTGTATGAACTTCATCCTTCTTCTCCTTCTCCTCCATATCTCCTGAGAGATCCGCATCTCTTCTTATACCATTATCTGAATGAATCCACAGACGACAATCATCAGACATGGCACTATCCATACTTTGAAGTTTTAATGCAATACGTTGTAATTCCGAACGATTTTCTTTAGGTGTATTCTTCTTAACATTCGTATAATATCTAAAACAACAGGTAATAATAATTTTAAAGTCTATTGCAGCTATACGAGCAGCTAAATGTCGATTTTTTATTCCATTTAAAAGTCTTTTTAACTCATTTCCAGGAAAAAGTTGTCTTGCAGCAGCATCAAAAAGGATAAGTTGAGGCATATCACGAATAAATTCTGTTAATCCTAATGATTTCGATAAACTTTCTGCTAAATGAAAAGATTTCTCTGTATGGGAATTCATTAGATCTATAAAGACCATATAATTTAAAAGTGTACTACGTGCTTTCATTCTGGATTCCATAACTTTATCTCCTAAAGTCGACTCACTAGAATGATGATGATGATGATGATAATCTGGTAAGAGAGAAAACATAATAACTCTCTTTTCAAACATCGAATCCCATGGAATGGAAAGTGGTTGAGAAGGCAATAAAGATAAGTTGGATGCTCGAGATCCTGTTTCTGTAAAGGCAAAAAACATAATTGTTTTAACAAATGAACGGGCTTCTTGAATACGTCGTAGTAATATTTCAGGTCTATTAGAAAGTAAATCCATAAACTTCTTTAGTTGATTACGAATCATAACAGGAATAAGTGAAAAAACAGCATCATCATCCTGTGATAATAATTTTTGTATAATCTCTATAATTTTCCCACATTCATAATTATCAGGAGATCCTATAAGTTGATGACAGATAATTTGAATAAAATCCAAAACTTCATAACAACTATTAAAATAATCACGTGTCGAACGACTTCCTTTTGGATGTTGTATAGAACTCGTTACAGAGATATCACCTCCTTCAAAAAGATTCGCATCTGGAATAGTATTATTCTGCAAAAATGAAAGTGTCTTATCTCTAAGTGGAACTAATTCTCGTTCAAGTACTATTATACATGATATCAATATAATAGATAAACCTGCTAATTGTGGTGGAGTTAATGAAGGATGAATAGATTTACCATCTTCATTCTCTCTCTTAAAATCATCTACAAAAGTAAGGCATGGTTGTATTACAAAAGATTTAAAAGTATTATGATTCCACGTACCATCATCATACCAAGGAGTTTTCTGACTCCAATTAAGATCCTTTTCTTTTCCTTCTTCTTCTTCTTCTCTTTCTCGTATAGAAAGTAATTTTAATAATACCACCATATCCACTCCAGCCAAGGATTTCTTAAGTTCATCATTTCCCATAACGTTTTCAGAAAAAATAGAAGCCAGAGAAGTATCAAAGAGTCTAAAAAACCATATATTTAGAGTATCACCTCCCCCATCAGAAAGACGTAATTCACCCAATCGCAACTTTTTAAATCTATGTTTAATAGAAATAGATGTATATCGTGTAATATGACTCTCACATTGATTAAAAAGAGTACGTAATAATAAAAGTTGCTGAAGTAAATGGGAACAATGTTTGTGATAACTCTGACCAATAGGTTTAACGAGTTGACGGATAATAATACAGAGAATCATTAATAATAAAGATGCTTCTGTACGTTTATAATGATGAGGCGTCATATTTGTTAAAAACGTAATTTGTTCAATTCCACTAAGAAAGGCAGCATCACTACACGTTTTTAATAAAAAAACTAAATGTAATAAAGGAGCATTACAAATTAATGTTGGTGTATATACAAAGGAATGAGAAAGCCAACATAATGCAACAATCCCAACATCCAAAGTTTGAAATCCTAATGCACTAAATACTTCTAATTGCTGTAATAAACAACCAATTCCACGTCCAGATCCAAAGAAAACATCTCCAATTTCAGCCCAAATATTACGTGTCACTTCACTATGTTGATCATATTCTCGTACCACATCACGTAAAAACTCCAATTTGTAACCACAACAATGAAAAAAAGATAAAAACTCTTCAAGAGGAATAGGAGAAAGTTTTCCATCTTTTTCATTTAATGTGGAATTAATATGTATTTTTAAATATCGTTGAATAGAGGTTAATACATCACCAAGTTGAGAGGAAATAGATACAGAATTATCCGATAAAAAGGCTTCTCCTGCTACTTGTACGGCTTGTTCTAGTAAACCATTAACTTTTCCATCTTCTTTTGAAAATAAAGGCATCATATAATAAGAAGATAAGGATGAACCAGATGATAAAGAAAGTTGTTGTTGTTGTTGTTGTTGTAGTAATTGTTGTTGTTGTGTTTCATCATCATTGGATCTCATCATGAGTGCACGACGATAATTCGTTACACAAGCAAGTCGTAATTCTACAAAATTAAGAGATTGAGCAGATGTTAAATTACGTGGTATACTTTCTGCTGTTATTCTCACATTTTTAGGAAGACATCGATCATCTGAAACTCCAGGAGAGAAATGCGTTTTGATATTATTTTCCAATCCCTTCATCTGAGAGTAATATTTATCAAAAAGATTATTATCTGTAATAGGAATAGGAAGTGAAAGATTAAATACTTTCTTTATAATATCACATGGCATCATAGGAGAATTTTTTTCTCGTTTCTTTCTAGAAGGTAATGGTGGTTCATACATAGAATCATGAAAACTAACGGAAGAAACAAGATTTCCCACTCCTTCATCATTATTATTCAATCCCACTCGTAATTGCATCACATGACGAGTAGGTGTTAACAGTAAAACTGAGAAATAAGAAGAAGATAAGGAAGAAGAGTCTGGACGAAGTAAAATAGATCCTTCTGGAATATGTCGTGCGGCCACTCGTTGACCTAATCGTAAGGAATACACTTCAATAGCATGTCGAAGAGGAAGATGAATAACAAGTAATAACATTCGTTTTCCACCAATAGTAGTTAAATGCCATTGAAACTCTGCAGCTCGACATCCTTTCATCACACGCCACATTGCTCCTCCCATTAAATCATATAAATAGATTCGTCCAGCCATTTCACTATAACAAGCAGCCCATTGAGAAGTAGGATCTACTTGAACCATACTAAATACTAAATCAGCTTCAAAGAAAGCATCTTTTGCAAGTTGTGGTTTTTTCGCAAGATGTTTAGGTTTTATCACTACTTCAGTTTCAGAAGAACCTCTCCATACTTTTTTAGCCATTCCACCAATTACAGAAACTAATGCTTTAACGGTTTGTCGTGTAGAAAACGCCGCACGTGTATTTTCAAATGTATACATAGAAAGTGCAGGAGTTTCTCCACATAAAAGCATAGACTCCAAAGCCTTTGGACCATCACGGAGAATAGCCGTCGTATCTCCTTTATTACTAAAAAAGAAAGCCGCATCTCGAATACAACGCTCCACACCAATAAATTCTGTAGAATGCATTGTTTGTAATTCTATAGAAGAATATCCACCAATCTCTGATAATATAAAAACATGTTCTACATGAGATGCAAAGTGTGCAGCCGGACCAGCTGTAGGGAATGAACTAATATTACTATCTGGAGACCACTCTAGTACAAAATAGGGTCGTTTTCCATCAAGACGTTCTTCAGCAACAGTAAGAAATACATCCAGTGCTACTCGATCCAATACAACTACTCGTCCTTTACTATGTACAATATAAATAGAGTGAAGGGTTTCCATAGGCATAGAAGCTGTACTTTGGGCAATATTAGCATTAAGACGAGTTTCTGGTCCAGTAGAATGTACAGCAAAACGAACAACAGATTCATTAACATGACGACTCATTCCTGTATTTCCCTGAGGAGTTTCTACAGGATCTCGTCCAATAGATCCATGATATTGAAATTGTGCTAATGCCATTATTGTTGCTCGAAGTGCATTACATATAAATACAGTTCCAGTAGAAGTTCCAATAAAGAGATGAACATAGAGGGATTCTAGTGTTCGTTTTCTACTTGTCGTTAATTCTTTTCCTCCTTCAAGTTTTCTATAATCACGAACCAGTTCAATACTTGTAATGACACCTTCATCCTCTAGAACCTCTAAAGTTCTAGGAACACGAAATAATGTCCGTAGAAAATCCAAACGTTTTTTCTCTCCTGCTGTCATACTTGATGTTGAACTCACACCATTAGCATTAACAGTACTATTAGCATTACTACTACTACTACTACTACTATTATTACCAATCATATTAGTCGTTGTAGTAGTAGTAGTAGTATTATTATTATTAGTAGCATCATCATCCACAAGAAGTTCCAAAATGCATCGATTACTATCAGTATTTACAGAAGCAATAAGGAAAACGCCTGATGATAACATCAAATAAGTGGGACTTAACCGGGACAATTTAGAAACTGCCTCCGTCTGACGAAGTCTTCCTACATCATGTAATGAAATGGAAGCCATGCGTTTTCTTTGAGCAAACAAATCAACAAAGTAAACAAAACTCTCTCCCCCTTTTTCTCACCTTTGTTCTTCTAATATTAACGTACTTAAAGCGTACTACCAGTATAAATGATGTGATCTCAGTAAAATGTAGAAGAAACAAAAAAAAAAAGAGAGATATATACTTAGTCTCTTTTCTTTTTATAATTGACTCAGGAGAATAAACACAAAAACAAAAAAAAAAAAAAAACACGACCTCCATTACAAAGAATGATCAAATTCTGCAAAAAAAAAAGTACTACGTTCGTTACTCATCCCTTTTCTTTTTTTTTCCCCCCTCTTCACTTGTCAAACGATATAAAATATATATATATATATATATATATATATATATATATATATATTTATTATAAAACGATGTTGATCTCTCTACTTTTTACCATCATCCTTTCCAGAAGGAGTAGGAGTGGAACTTACTTTCTTACTATTGACATCTTGTTTCTGAGTACCCTCAGCATCTTCCCACGTTACCACAGAGTTAAGAACCATATTATTAGGAATATGTAGTAAATGCCCCTCTGCACTGCGCAGATATAAATAACGTGTATCCCAATCCACCACTTGACCCTTCACAACTGTACTCCCACTACCAATAGCCACTCGATTACCCGTACGGAGTGATTTCTGTCCACTTAATGCCACACTCGCAACAAAGTTAGAGCCAAAGTCTTTACATGCAAAACCAATAGTCGCTCCAGTCACTCCAGCAGCCGCAACGAGAGGAGAAGTATCCACTCCAAGTGTGCCAAGCAGTGAAAACGCTACAGTGCCTTGAACCAACAGAGAAGTAACACGACTCGCAACACTGCGTTGACTGGGGTCTGAAACGAGTCCAGTCACAGAATAGAAACGATCAAAAAATCTCTTCATTTCGTGTACCAATTTTACTCTTTCCTATTTGTTTAAAGAGGGAATAAAAAAAAGGAGAGAGAAAAAAAAAAAGTTAACAAATAATAATAATAATAATAATAATAATAATAATAACAATAATAATTAAAAAGAAGAATACACATATATACATATTTCTCAACTCAATTGTTATATAAAGAAGAACAGTGTGGTCCTCCTTAGTATCGGGGGAGTAGGGAAGTAAACGGATACTGTGTGATAGGAGAGAGAAAACAAAATAAATAAAAACAAGAAAACATAATCAACTAAAAGCGACTACATCCAAGATTTTATTTTTTGCTTCTCCTCTATTTGAGTCCCTCTCCCCTTAAATACACACATATATATGTCTTTTTTTTTTCTCTCTCCTTTCCTTTTTCTTCCTTATTCATTTTTTTTTCTTTCTTTCTTTCTCATAGACAGTGGGATTATTATTTGAAATAATGTGCTTCTGCAATTAGTGCACTTAATTAATTGATATATTTCACCCTGTCTGGTTACTGTTCTTTTTTTTTTTCCTTTTCTTTTTTTTTCTTTTTGGTCAAGGTCAAATAGAAAAAAAAGAAAAAAAAAAACTTACTCCTCTCTACAGTCCAGTACTAGCGGCACCTGCGGGCTTGCTGGTCTGTTTGTTTCCTGTGAAGCCTTGTTTAGCTCCTTTGGTGTAGTCCTCGCGGCGGCGGCCGCTGGATCTAAGGAACTGCTGGTACTGCGGGGAATTCACGTCGTAGATCATTTTTGGTTCTTGTTTGCGTACGTAAACAAAGTCTGTAGAGTTCTTTACACTTAATATAAATAGAGTGTAATATCAATAAAAAAAGAAAGAAAAAAAAAGAAAGAAAAAAACAAAGAAAGGGATGTAGTTTAACCAAAGAAGAGAAAACAACAACAACAAGAATAATACGGCATGAGTTTTACACATCTCTCTACACAGAAAAATAAATGTTTATTTATTTGCCATTGAGATGTATATTATCTTCTCTCTTTATTAATGAGAGAGAATCATTGAATTTTCTTTTTTTTTTTTTCTCATTTTGGGTAATTTCCTTTTATTCCCATTTTTTTTTTTTTTTTAATCGGCCTGTTCTGTTCCACACCTCCATAGATTGAGAGAAGGAGATGAAACACACAAAAGAAAGAAAGAAAAATGAAAAGTAGTGTCATTTCTCTTTCTTTCTTTCTTTTTTTATCAACCATTTGGTTCACTCCATAGCCTCCGCCATCATCTTCTCTTTCTCTCCTTTTCCTTTTTCACCTTCTTCTTCCTCACGTACACGCTTGCGTGATGTTTGTCCATTCTCTTCCTTTTCTGTTGATATTGACTGTGGAACTGTCTTCTCCACTTGGACTTGTTCATTGGTTTTGGTATTGCTGTTACTACTGCCTCCATTTGCTTCCACCTTAATGGCGGTTAACACGTATCCACCGGCGGTACTCATATTAACCGTTGGGTGTGTACGGTTTGGAAGGAGTTGATAATGGCGATACCAAGTTTCAGAAATGCATATATTCACACAATGAGTCCGAAGCTTTGCAAAGAGTGCTGTTAAATCTTCCAAATATGGACTGAATACTACCACATGTCCACATAAAGCTAAAAAAGGTAATAGATCATTAAGTGCTTCTTCAGCACCTTCATCATCAACTATAATAAGTGAATCTGCAGGTTTTTCTTTTAACATATTATGTGCATCAATACCCCGTAACCATTGGGATATATTACCATTATCACAATTTCGTTTTTTATTCTTTTCTGCTGCCCTTTCCTCATCTTCTACGGTTTCCACTCCAAGTAGAAAACCTTCATTACGTGGGATAGCTTTCCACATTTCTCTAATACGAGGAAGTCCCATTGCTTGTGCAGGAAACGTATTTGGTTGTGAAACCTTATCCATTAATTGTAGTATTATTCCCTCATCCCCAAGACGTGAAAGTAAAGCAGCCTCCAAGTAACCGTTTGTTTTATCATAAACAAGTACACGACTACCACTGTGTACATCACTGTGATGAAGAATAAGTGCAAGTGTATCTGCACGAAGTCGCATCCAACGTGTTTCTTCTGGTTCAACATCCGAAGGATTAATAGTCGGTAAATGAATCTCTGCAAGTCCATCCGGTGTGACACGTTCTACTTTATATAATGTTCCATGACGTTTTTTTTTCTTACGCAAATATTTCTCTTGTGCGTAGGCAGTCTTTGTATGGAAAGTAGTACTCTTTTCTGCAAGAGAGGTGATAAGCTCATCCACGCCCTTTTCCTCTCGCATAGCTGCAATCTCATCCTTAGAGAGAATTTGACTTCTGTTGTCATCCACAAGGTGACGATTATCACGTACCTCCTCCACTGCCTCTTGTAAGTTTGTGATATCAAGATCGGGATAATCATTCGTGGGAATAAACACACGGCGCTTTGGGTCATATCGAAGGACTTCACCAAAGCGCAGGCCGGCGAGTTTCTCGAGATCGACCGTCCCTGTACTCCCGAGGCGAAGTCGATTGCCCTTCTGCACCACCACCATCCGCTTCATTCCACCGCCTGTTAAGATAACGTAATCTCCAAGAGCAATACGATCATCAGAGATCCGCCCCTCTGCCTTGTTGACACCGGCCATTGTTGATTTATTTTTTTTTTTTTTTTTTTTTTTTTTGGGGGGGGGGCTAGAAGAAAAAACTGGCAAACAAAAAAATACAACAAGAACACGAGGTGTCAACGCTTCATTGAAGTAAACAACAACAAGAATATATATATATATATAAACAGAGAGAGAGAGAGAGAGAGAGAAAGAGAGAAAAAAAGGGGGAGATTAAAAATATTAGTCTGAAATTCTTAAAAATAGACAAATACGATAAAGAACAAGAAAAAAATAATAATAACAATAACAGTAAAAAGAAAGAAAAAAAAAAAAACAAATGATTTGTACACAAACCTGTACATTGAGAAACTCCTCCTCTTTTTTTCCATTTTTTTTTTTTTTTTTACGAGGATAAGGCCTTCTGACACGCCGTACGGCATTCAGCAACGGCATTTGCAAAAATACGTTCATCAATATCATCATCATCATCATCGCTGCTGCTGTTACCTTTCACCTTTTGTAACTCCGTATCTAATGTACTGTATGATGGTAATTTACTTAACGCCGTATCCACCATACTAGTTGGTGAGGGTCCACGAATACAATGTCCATCTATACACAACACTCCTGCAAATCGTCGCTGCAAGATCTTTTCATACGACTTCTTATCACTACAAATGGGATTATCAAGAAGCAGTGGTTCATCCATACCGTCCAGTTGAACTTCCCGCTGCAAAACAAGCCAACGAAGACGTGGAAGTTCCGCTAAAGGCGCTAATGCCGTTTCACTACTTAATTGATTTCCCTCTAGATGCACATGCTCTAATAATAAACAAGTATCAATCCCACTCACATCTTTTATTTCATTCTCCGCCGCCACTAAATGCTGTAGTGTTTGGGCCAGGAGTGCAATACCATCTAAACTCTGCAGTTTATTCCGCGTGAGATCCACGTGTGTGAGGGCGAGACATCGAGTGAAGGCGTTGCCGAGTGCAGAGATGCCAACACCACGTAGTGTGAGTGTGTAGACAACTTCAATATCATACTGCTGTGAGGCCCGCGTAATAGATGCCTCTGTGAGAGTGCCATCCGCCGTTAAATCATCACTCACAGACGGCATTTCCCCAGCAATAAAGAATGCAGAGGCTTTTACAAGGAGGAAAAAATAAGAAAAAGAAAAAAAGAAGGTGGAAATGAAATATACAAATAAGAGTAAAATCAAACAAAGAAAGAAGTAAATCATGAAAAAAAAAAAAAAAATAAATGAAAATAAATTAAATATACAAATATCCGAGGTATTGTTTATGCGGAAATGGTTAAAATTTGTGAGGGAAAGAAAGGGATAAAAAGAAAAAAAAAAAGGAAAAGGAAACATTTTCCTATTCACCTCTCATTATTGCTATTAGTATATCTCCATTGTACTTTAAAAAAAAAAAAAAAAGTATCGCAGATAATCTTAACAAACAAACAAACAGTAACCCCATGTTTCAAAGCAAATATAAGAACACTAAGAAAGAGAGAAAGAAAGTGAAAGAGTTATGTTAAACTTTCTTCCGTTGCTATAATTCTTTTCTTCTCAACATACGCTTTTAGTCTATCAGATTGATAACGTCTTCGCATCACAGTAGCCTTCAAATGCCAAGGTGTTTCCACACTATACTCATCACACAAAAGTTCCACAGAATGACGAAACATTACATTACTTCTTATCGCATCCCGTTGCTCTAATGCCCGCATCACTAAAGTATGTACAGATGCCGTATATCCCATCTCAACAGCAACCGCAAGACGAGCCGCATGGGCAAGTTGAGATAATGACATATTATCTATATGATGTTCAAGCCAATTAAAACACGTAACCGCTAATTTAGAAGGAATAGGAACATCCAAATCCACCACTGCTTGAAGAAGTGTAAGGGCTTGTGTAATATCCAGTCGAGTATCTCGATTACACTGTTCTTCTAATGCGGAAAGTAAACGAAAGACAAGGGCATCATCTTGTAAACCAAAAGTAGCATGACATTGAAGCATTCGAATTAACGTACTTCGTCTACATTGATTAACCATAGAGAGTACACGAGTTCCAATAGCATCTATTAATGATTCCAATGCTTCTGTGAGGGGTAAACCAAGTAAAGCCGATAACACCATTTCAAGATTTTCTTTTGACATTACATCCACAACTTCTGCTAACAGTGGTATCATAAAGGATTCATAACCACGGAATAGTTCAACTTCTGAAGAAATAGCTTTAAAAAGTACACAACGATTGTGAGCATCTGCTTTCTGACAGGCAGATTGAAAAACTTCTACAAAATTAGATTTATGTGTTTTTACAATATGCCAATATTTTAAACGACTTATACACTGTAAAAGTCTTGAAAATTCACTAGATGTCATCTTTTCACAATCTTGAATTAATTCCTCACATATTTCTTGAACTGTACGATTAGACATACTTACACCTCCAATAGTTTCTTTTTGTTCTACCAATGTATTTAATATCAATAAACGATCTTGCAAACAGGCATATCGCTCTTTCATAGAATGTAATAGACGACTAGTAATATTACATTCTGGTAAAACTCCTAAAGAAGTAGTAACAACAGTAGAAACACTATTACTATTATTACTATTACTATAAGAGACTGTTGAACCAGTAGCATCTTCTGCTAGTAATATCACCAACGCTAGTACATTACTTAATGAATATACTGCAGGTGAAGAACAAATCGCTTCATCCACAGAATCACCAGTTTCATTTTCACTTTTTCTTTTATTCTTATTATGACTTTCCTCAACTTCTTTCCGTAATATGGTTTCAAAGAAACCTTCTGTGATGGCCAATCTCACTCTATCATTTAATAATTTATGTCTCTGTAGTAAACGGCAAAGTGTGAGAAGACTTTCAAGATTCGATTGGAGTGGTGGAAGCACTATATTCACAACCCGTTCTGTTAGAGATTCTCCAACGGTACTACGAAGTACATCTGGAAAAGCTGAAAGAAACTCTGTAAGGGATTCCAATGAATTAATATCATCTAATACCAAAAGTTTATCACAACAACGCCGAATAAGACCTTGTTGTCGCTCAAACATTTCAGCATTATTATTATTATTATTATTATTATTATTATTATTAATAAGATTTTCACTATCCATTTCTCTTTGATCTTCTTGTATATACTTTTGTAAAACAACAAGAGTCACATTACGGTCCATCACAGTTACACCTGCCGCTTCCTCTTCCAATTTTCTTAACATTGATTCCAATAAAGGAATAGGAATAGATCCTTTTTGTACAGAGAGAGTAGATAAAAGTCGAGTACACCATTGAAAAGTAAGTTTCGGTAAATGAGCTTCAATCACCATAACATTAATAGACATGGGAAGATTCTTCGCTACACGTACATGATCACTAAGATCTACTGTAAGTGCAATATCATGTTTCTGAAGTTCTTTTATTACCAATGGCTCAGCTTGATGATATTTTCTTGCTAAATAAAAAAGTTCCACTTGAGTAAATTCTTCCAATTGATTTCGTAAACGTAGCATGAGAAAATCTGCAGCAGCAGGAGCTAATAAATTTAGTTTATCTATTAAGAGTAAACCCACATCTTTGGTATGTGCAGCGGAGAGATGCCCAATAAGACGAGTTATCAACTCTTCCATACGAGTTCGTTCCATAAGGAGTACAGTAACTTCCCCATTCTCTTCTCTCTCTATATTATTATTATTATTATTATTATTATTATTCTCTTTTTCATCTTCTTTTTCTTCTTTATTCTTCTCTTTTTCATGGAAACTATTTAAACGATGTAAGAGACGTTGATATCTTTCTTTCTTTGTCAAATAACTCACAGTAAATCGTATGGTATTCGCTACCACAGATGAAATAGAGGAAGGTTTAAAACTTTGATAAACACTATCCCCTAATTCATCTAAACGACGAAGAAATAATTCAAGTGTATAATTGACTATTCGTAAATTAGATAAAAATGCCACTTGACTCTCATGAATAGAAGATGCAGCATGAATAAGAAACTCCATAATAACATTATGAAGAATACGACAATCACAGGCAATCAAAAGATACTCCAATAATTCTATAGAAAAGGGAGATTCAATCACAATATCTAATTTACAACAAAATACAAAATGTCCTGGAGGAGGAAAATGAGTTTTACATCCCGTTCCATCCGCGTGAGCTCCTTCCTTTTCAATCTGAAGAACACGTGTGGATAATTCAGAGGCAAAGGAATCCGGTAATTTCACTCCAGCACGTAACATGGAAATAAATACACGCTCCAACTGTTCATGTGTTGGACAGGCTAATAAATGCATATCACCACCACTACTACTGTTTTCATTTAATGTTGATGAATTATTATTATTATTATTATTATTATTATTATTATTATTATTATTATTATTATTATCTCCTTCTCCTTGTATATTAGTTGTGAGTACTTTATGTTTTCGTGATATACTCATTACATAGTGAAGATAATCATGAATCCATACTGTCATAACTTCTCGAATACGATCTGTAGAGGTACGCCAATCATTTGTAGATAAGAGATAATTAATCGTATTTACAATAAATCGTGTAAAGCTATCGGTATCTTTATTAACACCTTCAATAAATCCTTGACGAAGTCTAAATGGATTAAGTGTTTGTAATTTTAAAAGTTGTGGAACTAATTCAGCATTGTAAACTCCATATTCCATAGCTAATGGAGCTAAAAATGCTACAAAACGTATCATTGAAGATGTTGTTCGTGAACCACTATACTTTAACATATTCTCTACAATCTCTTTACGTTTTTTAATATCGGATATTAATTTTAAAGCTTCTGTTACACTTTGAAGCGTATTCGCCATACTATTACCAGAATCAAGATCTAATGTTTTCTCCATTAATATCATAACAGTATCTGAAATATCTAAATGAGACAATAATGTTGATAACTTGGTTAATAATAAAAGACGTCGTAATGCCAATTTAGCTGTTTGGGGTATATCACTTACACTCCAATCAATATTACTCGTTATTTGTGAAATATATTTCTGGGTAATATCCTTTTCATGAGAAAGACTTGGTTCTGTCATTCGATTAAAGAGTGTCCACAAGATACATTCAATTGTATCATTTAATACCATTTTTACCGGTAATAATAAAGATGAAGAAGAAGATGATGATGATAAAGATAATTCTAATACAGATGTAAACTCTGGAAGAGCGATTGCGATAAAGCGGTAAAGTGTTTCACTGTGAAGATGTACTCCAGCATATCGTATCACCTGCAATGCATCTACTGATGTGAGAGAGTCCATACTAACTGCATTTAAATAAGTGAGAAAACGTGTTTTACTAACATCACTAAAACTAAGAAGATGAGCTACCGATACAGAATCATTCATTGGAAGTGGAATTTGTCTGATAATCATCTTTCGTAGTGCATGAGACTCTTTTGAACGAATATTTGAAATCGTTTGAAATACATTAGGAAGTAAACGTATATCTTCTTGAGAATATTCATTCGGTTTCTTCCGTACACAGAGTAAATAGGATATTAATTCCAATCGATACACTGCAGAACTAAAGGCTATATTTTGTAAAATACTTGCACATTCAGACATGGAAGGAGAACCAGGAATTCCTCCTTTGGGTTTACATAATAATAAAGATGTATTGTGTAATATAGTCTCATCATCTTTACCAGTTGAGATGATAATTAATTCTTTTTCTTCTTTTTCTTCTCTTTCTTCTACTACTACTCGATCTTCTTCATATAATTCTGTTAATTGTTTTGTTATTGGGGTAATATGTCGTAAGAGACGCCGCAGTACAGTGTTTACAAGTACACTATCACTTCCTGATAGAAATGCTTGTCGTCGCTCTTCATTAGCAATAAGTAAAAATGATAAACAAACATCCACAGCTGCTTCTGTATCTAACTGAAAAAGTTTCCCTAAAGCATCTCCTCGTAATTGATGAACGACAGCAAACATTAATGCCGTTGGTATTTTAAGTAGTGTCTTTTCAGTATCACTAAGAAGAAAAGGACTATCCAAACAAGAAAGACGATGTAAACCATAAACACAAGTCATAAGAATAGAAAGAGGTTGAGTTTCTAATTTATCACTTGAAATTGCACGATTAAGGAGTACTGCTATTCTATTCGTAAGCATCTCTACTTGTCTTCGTAGGGAATATTCTTGATCTGTTCTAGTTTCCAAAATCTTCACAGCACTTTCCAAACGACAAAAAAGTACTTCACATACAAAACTACACACAAGAAGAGATTGACCACATGTAAGGGTATCAGAGGATTCTTGAAGCCATTGTAAAACGATTTCATCAACTTCTAATGAAGGATCTTCTTCTTGAATATCACTCGTTAAGGTATTTGATATCTCTTTCTCTGATAATAATATTCCCATCGCAACCTGTTGATGAGCACTACACCAACGAACAATGGCGTCAAATGTTTCTCTCTTTTGTTTTTTATCAGGCATATTATTCGTATTGGATGTCGATGGATTATAAAATGAATGGAAAGCCATAGAGACTTCAGAAAAATCTTTTCTAAAATTGTCATCTGTATATATTTGCCCTGTACGAAGCATGACTGGAGCAAAACGTGATCCACAGAGCAGAAAGGGAATTTTCTTCCCCGATAAGAGAAGAACAGTACGTTTTAGAAGCATCATATTACCTCTTTTTTCTTTTTTTTTTCTTCTTCTTCTCCAGCTCCTTGTTTATTTTTATTTATTTGGTTTCCTCTCTCCTCCCCAGAAACCACACCCAAAGAACTGTAATATTTCATATATATATATATATATGAAATATTTGATTTAAAAAAGAAAAAAGAAAAAGAGAGAAGAGACATAATGTAATGTTTCAGTTAAAATTCCATCATTATAGAGATACATATATAAATACGTGTAGATTTATTTTATATTTTTTCTGTAGATTTTAACCATATATATATATTATACTTGTACCTTTTTTTTTTTCCATCAAACTTCTCTTTAACAATTGATTCACTCGCGTTGCAATGCATTGTACAGTTTCGCTCTGGATGCACTGTGACGATCCAAACGAAGCAGTACTGAATCTAAATCTCGCAGAGTACAATGTGTTAAATCCACATTTCTTATCTTGAGTAAAGGTGTGACCCTATCCTCCTCTTTCTTTCCTTTTTGCGGTTCTTCCTCCTCATCTAAAGCATATACTATAATGCCACTTTCATTATATTTCACAAGAGAAGCCAATTGTTGAAGAAGTCTTTCCATGTCATCATCAAAACGGTTTTGTGCCATCATTTGTTTAATCAAAACTCCCATATTGCATAAAGAACGTGTTTCTCCAAGTACACTCCTCACTAAATCATATGTTGATAAAAGACGTTCTCTTCTTTGTCGTTTCGTTATTTCCTCCTGTTCCTTCGCATCCAATCCTAATGCTTCTCTTCGCATCTGCTCTAATACAGAACGTAATTTCTCTTTTGAAAGAGAAGCACGAAGTTCTGCAGAAAGTTGCGCCAACAACTGTTCATCACTAATACCATCATCATTATCATTATTATTCTCCACATCATTATTGTTTATAGATGAAGATGTCTTTTCCTTTGACATGCCACTATCCGGTAAATTCCTTTTCTTCTCATTATCTTCTTCTCCTACTAATGTGGTGGGATTGGCGCCTTGTAAAAGCAAAGAAACATCTTTTTTCCAATCCTGAGACTTTCCCCATCGTTCTCGCAGAAACGCCACAGACTCTGCAATAGAGGGTACATTCTCACGAAGAAGTTTTAGTTTAACTATCATTCTTGTCAGTGATTCTGTGGGAGTAGCAGGGATAATCTCCTGCATGATCCCACTCTCACTTGGTTGTGGTACACTATTTGAATTCACATTTACCGTAACTTTCAACCAATCACAAAATGCGGCCCCACACTCAATGATATCCGTCAACGTAACTGTAAAGCCACAGTATCGTACAAGAGCTCCCAACCAACGATCATCCACAACTGTGGTAATACTACGGTCACTGTGAGAGACTCGAAGTTGGGCCATTTTTACCATCGTAACAAGAAAAACACTATGAAGAATGGTAGAGAGACGTTCATAAACATTTGTATGATTCCTGCGGGTTGTGGAAACTGGTTTAACAAGATTGTTTTGCACATCACTCACGGGAGCGGCATCCAATAAGGAAGCAATACGTGTTGATACTGTTCCACTCAAACCCTTAACATTCGTAACGGTAGAAGAACTAGAGTTATTTTTCTTTGTAGCTCTTTTATTTTTGGCCACAGAGACTTTTTTACTTGTTTTTGGTGGCATAACACCTCTTTTGTCACTGCTAAAGAGGAAAAAGAAAAATTAAAAATTAAAAACAGAAGAAAAGAGAAAAAATAACATCTAAAATAGTAAAAAAAATAAGGAATTAAATACTTCCTTTATTTAAAAAGGAAAAGAAAAACAAAAAAAAATCATACAAACACAGAGAGTAAATAATAATGTAATTCAGGTAATGTTTCACCTCTTTTTTTTTTTTCCCACTTTGCATTCTTTCTCTTTCATTAGGTTCCGAATTTATCCCATTCGTGAAGGATTTGTTTTTTCTTACAGGTTTTTTTTCTTTTTCTTCTTTCGTTCCTAACCCCATATCCCAGCTTCAATATAACTATCCTACAAGACCTGGCTGGGAAATACCCGTTCGTCTTTTTTTTTTCTTTTTCTTTTTTTTCTTCTTTTTTTTTTTCTTTTATTACAGATATGTGCTGAGCGATACCGTCACAGCATAAGGCACCCGCATAAGCATTAAATCTCAGAATACATAAATGTCTAAATTCCGAAATAAGGAGCCTTGCTGCGGAGAAGAGTTAATATTAAAAGTAATAATGATCAAAAAAAAAAGAAAGAAAAAGGAAAAAAAAATAATAATAATGGGAGTTAACATCCCTCTTTATGTGTGTGTGTTTTTTTTTGTTTTGTTTCCTGAACATTATTTAGGTAAAAGCCAGTTGCAAAATAAAAGTACAATAGCAAACACATACACATATATACATATAGAGACGAAAAAAAAACAAGAAAAAAAAAAAAAAAAAACGCCATGCAGAGAAGCAATGGCAACCCCACACCCCCTCCCCAGAAAAAAAAAAAAAAAGAAAAGAGAGAGAAAGAAATATGAGAAAGTACAAAGTACAGAAACAAAAAAAAAAAACAGATGTTGAAATAAGAAAAAAAAAAAAAAACCTGATTTTCATGGTGATATCAAGAAAATAAATAAAAAAAAAAAAACCGAGTGCCAAGTACAGAAAGAGAAATTTAGAGCAAACACAAAATAGAATCAAAAAGAAAAAAAACCGAAAAAAAAAGAAAAATATCCCAGATTAAGAGAGCAAACACAAAAAAAAAAGCAGCAATCAGTTTTCTTTTTCTTTCTTACATTTCGTTTCATGTCTTTTTAGTAGTAAAAACAGAAGGTAATTCATACAAGAGCTATGGTGAGTCTCTTTTTTTTTTTTTTTTTACCCACTACTAATTCTTGCTTTTCTCTTGACCCCTTCTATTTCTCATTCTTTCCCTTAATCTGAGCACTACTACGCTTTTCTAGTTCGGCTCTTTTTTTTTTTTTTGTTTTTCCTGACAGTCAATCTAGTTCACCCCTAACATCAATCTTTTTTTCTTCTTCTTCTTTTATAACAATCTTTTCTGCTTTTCCCTGTCCTGTCTCACTTCTCCATCCTCCTACTACATCTTTTCTTACTCTATATGAATGAATAGACGATAGTCTATTTTTCCTTGATTTTTTTCTTCCCCCACTTTACCATTCCTTTAAAACCCCAATTATTGGAGTTTTAATGGAAGGTTGGTAGAGGGCTGACAGTGACCTTCTTTACTGCCTTCTTCTTGGCAACCTTCTTTGTCACCTTCTTCATGGCCTTACGAAGTGCCGCTGCCGGCTTTGAGGTCTTTACAGTCTTCGCGGTCTTCTTCCCCACCTTCTTTCCAACCTTCTTACCTCCGCTCTTGGGCTTCTTTCCCTTCATTCCTGTGTGTGCCTTTACGCCGCCCTTGCGCTTTGTGAGCTTGAGGGCTGCGGCGACGCGGTTCTTGACGCCGACGACCTTTCCCGTGGCGCGCCAGAGTTTCGCCGTCTCCCGCATGCTGTGGCGGCCGCGGACTGCCCCGTTTTTGCAGAGGGCGGAGTAAAAGCGGGCGTACGAGTTGGCGCCCGCCGGCTTTCCGGTCTTCGCGACGGTCAACTTCGGGACGGCGGTGAGTTTTGGGGTCGTCATCGATGGACGGACGACTGCCCGTACGGGAGCGCGGCGGGTGGCCACAGCAAACACACGTGTGAGTCGCATCATTTTTTTAGGGTTTGTTGGTTAGCTTGTTGGTAGGTTTGTTTGTTTTCCTTTCTAAAGGATAAAATAGAGAAAAAGAAAGAGAGAAAGGTATAAAATAATAATATAGGGTTTGGAGGAGAAAGGGAAATGAAATCATTTCCCCATATATGTATGTATATATAAAAGTAAGAAGAAGGCGATATGGAGAAAAAAGAAAGAGGATAGTAAATCAACCAACTAGCAGAACGCCTTCTCTTCGTAACGTCTATGAACAATTCCCACCTATATGTGGAGAAAGAAGCAATAAAAATAATACCACCAGAAAAAAAAAAAAAAAACATCATAATATGGCATGATAGCGTACATGAAAAACCAACCCCATACTCAGAACGCTGGTTCACTACGAAATAAATGATGAAAACATACAAATACTCTACACGTTTCAGGAAAGAATATCAAATCTGATTCTACTTGGCACCTACTTTTTTGAAGGACATCTTTTTAATCTAGAAGGTCATTAAACATTATCCTCAGACACCATATAATTCAAACATTGAATGAAAAAAAGAGAAACAAAGATCACAAATCAGACCTCATTATGAATATTTCACTTCTTTTGCGGTTGCTGCTGTTTTTGTTGTTCTTTCCATAGCTTGGCCACTGCAGCAAGTCGTTCCTTGTGAGGAAGCTGACTGTATTTGGGAAGGTTAACTTTCACAAATTGGGCGTACTTGGACGGGGTACGTCGCTTCTTCTCTACAGCCTTTGTCTTTGCTCGACGACGCGATGGCATTGCCTTGGCACGTTTCTCCAATTCCGTGCGTTCTGATGGAGAGAGAGCTTTGTAAAGCTTTGCAGTCATTTTGCCCCGTTGGCCAATAGGGAGACCCTTGAGAGCGGGATTGTTTTTTTGCTCCATCATAAACAAACTGTATGCACCGATGGCAAGACGAGAGCAGCAAAACCGGAACATTATTTCTGTGTTTGTAAATGTAGGTAAAAATTTGGTTTTACCTTTATATAAAGAAAATATTGGAGAATAGTTAGAGAGAAAGAATGTAAAGAAAAATTTATTAGTATAACATCCCAGATCTTTTTTTACGAATACATCTATCCTTAATGCTAAGGTATGATAAAGGCATTAGGGGTGTAATGAAGTTATATATATATATATATTACCAGAATCTATGGTGGGACCATTCCACATGGAAAGTGAAAAAAAAAAAACAGAAAGCAACGCTTTAGAAACATATCCGCAGAACCTTTTTAAAACAGAAGAATGTATCTGTACAAAAAAAAAAAAAAAAAAGAATACTCTTTCTTTTCCTGAATGATTGTTACGGGTATTGGTACATTGAATCCGTTTTGATTCATGGGAAACGTTATTATTATTTTTTTTTTTTAGTTCTTTCTTGTTCTTACTCTATCTTCACTCTACATTTCCGTTAGTGTTCTGTTCCCTTTCGGTTCATTTGATTTGATCTAGAAATTTTTTTTTTGAATAGGTGTTCTCACTTCTTCACCTGCTGCTGTTGTTGTTTCCACAGTTTGGCCACTGCAGCAAGTCGTTCCTTGTGAGGAAGCTGACTGTATTTAGGAAGGTTAACTTTCACAAATTGGGCGTACTTAGACAAAGGACGCCGCTTCTTCTCTGCAGTTTTATCTGCAGTCTTCCCTACAGTTTTCGTCTTTGTCTCCTTCGTTCGACGAGATGATGGCATTGCCTTGGCACGTTTCTCCAATTCCGTGCGTTCTGATGGAGAGAGAGCCTTATACAGCTTTGAAGTCACCTTCCCACGTTGAGCAATGGGGAGACCCTTGAGAGCGGGATTGTTTTTTTGCTCCATCATAAACAAACTGTATGCACCGATGGCAAGACGAGAGCGGCAAAACCGGAGCATTATTTCTGTGTTTGTAAATGTAGGAAAAAGTTTAGTTTTACCTTTATATATAGAAAATATTGGAGAATGGTTAGAGAGAAAGAATGTAAAGAAAAAAAGATCAGAATAACATTCCGAAATTATTTTAAATAGAGGAAATTGAGTAAATATTGTTATTGAAGGTGGTAAAAATAACAACAACGACTAGAAAAAAAAAAAAAAAAACTGATTCTCTCCCATATTCACTCTATTTCTCTCTCTCTCTCTATGTATGTATGTTTGTATGTATGTATATATAATCTATGGTTCGAACATTCCATGTGGAACAATTTAAAAAAGCTACACTAGGCGTAAATTTTTAGAATAGAAACAAGACTAGCCTCTCGGACACATGTGATACGTGGAACACCATAGATACGCTAATTTTAACGTAGACAGGCAACGAACTTTCATAAAAAAAAAAAAGGACTATTTTGTTGTTGTTGTAGTTTATATGGATAATAAGTCGTCGCTAATAATAAATGAGGAGGAGGGGGGTGAAGGGTATAAAAACAAAAATACCTGTAGTATCATTTTTCTTGTTTTTCAGCAACTACAGTATCTACAGGTGTTTCTTCAACTTTTGTCACTTTCTCCTTCATAGATTTCCACTTTTCAGCGATGACTTTCATCCTTTCTTTAATTGGAAGATCTTTTACCTGGGGCATCTGTTCCTTCACAAACACGGCGTAGGGAGATGGTTCTTGTTTTTTTGAAGTTTTCTTCTTTTCAGAATTATCCTTCTTCTTTTTAATTGAAATCTTTTTGGTTGTCACACCTTTACTTTTCGCCTTTATCTTTGACGATCCCTTAGCCTGACTACTTGATGTTCGTTTTTTTACCACCACCTTCTTTGTTTTTGGTTTTCTTGTCGTCTTTGCAAGAAGTGGGGGTTTCACAAGGGCAGACGAACCACCACTGAGTGTAATTCCTTCTGAGCGTTCACGTGCCCGCTGCTCGAGTGCTGCTCTTGTTGACTCTGGCAGGGAGTTAAAGATGGCGAAGAGTTTCCGCTCCCGCACGCTGGGCGATTGAATAGACGCAATAGACGGATTGGACTGCTGTTCTTTAAAGAAGAGTTCATACGGTGTCACTTCCCGCCGCCTTTTGGGCTCAACGGGGGCACTGTGGCCCAATCGCGTCGCCTCCCACGCGGCGGCCCGTCGCTTCAGGGCATCCATATCGCTCGCCCCGAGTTGCCGGAACATTTTTTTGATGATTTTACTCTTCTGAGCGGCGGAGAGTCCGTGGAGACTGCTGTTATTACGCTGCTCCTCACGGAAGAACCGCAACGCCAACTTGCGGGCATTGCAGAGCGGCAACGTAATATGAAGCATCGATCAAGAGAATGTTTACACAATGCTCAAAGAGGACAATATATATATATTTCTTTTTTTTTTTATTCGATTACTTTTATTTTTTATTCTTTTTTTTTTTTTTAAAAAACTTTCGCCCCTCCTTTTAGGGCTTAATACACCGTTGTTTCTTCTGTTATTGGATAAGTGACTCCCTTCTTTTTCCCTTCGCCCCTTCTTTCTTAGGAACAGAACCAAAAAGAAGAAAATAATAATAATAATAATAATAATAATAATAATAATAATAATAATAATAATAAACAAACACAGAAATATAAAGCAAATAATATAGAAAATTCATTCAGAAACAACAAGAAAGAAAAAAAAAAAAAAAACACACAGAGCACACAAAGCACACATCACCATTGAAACAAAAAGGAATCTTTGGAGAGCAATAAGGTAATGTCTTGTATAAAGCACTAGCGCGCGTAAAAAAAAAAAATGAGAAAATAGTGGAAGGCCTAAAAACAAAGCTCAACCATGTCTGTCCAACATACCCACTCTGTATATAAATAAAATGTGGGAATTTGCTCCTTTCTTGCATCTAATGAGAGGATCTCTTTTTGAATATCTCTATATTATCTTAAACACTATCATCATCAAGAGATCATATACAAAATCCTTTTAAACTCCGAATAAAAACGGAAAAAAACACAAAACGCAAATATATAAAAAAGGTTTATATACTTAAACCTTTTTCACCTGCTTTTGTTGTTGTTTCCACAGCTTGGCCACTGCATTAAGTCGTTCTTTATTAGGAAGCTGACTGTATTTAGGAAGGTTAACTTTCACAAATTGGGCGTACTTGGACGGGGTACGTCGCTTCTTCTCTACAGCCTTTGTCTTTGCTCGACGACGCGATGGCATTGCCTTGGCACGTTTCTCCAATTCCGTGCGTTCTGATGGAGAGAGAGCTTTGTAAAGCTTTGCAGTCATTTTGCCCCGTTGGCCAATAGGGAGACCCTTGAGAGCGGGATTGTTTTTTTGCTCCATCATAAACAAACTGTATGCACCGATGGCAAGACGAGAGCAGCAAAACCGGAACATTATTTCTGTGCTTGTAAATATATAAATATATTTTTTTATTTATGTATTTATCTGCTTTAATGTTTGTTCAGAGAACAACAACAACAAAAAAAAACCGAAATAAAAATGGAAGAGAAAAACAATTAAGAGGTGAAAAAAAAGTTATTACATGGTTTTGTAAACACTACAAAGGAAGAAACAACTCGGTAGGACTACTAGAAGTAAAAGAAATATGGAATACATATATCCTTTTTCATTCATGAATGTCGTACAGGAATTCTATCGGGCTCATGTATTGAGTCCTCTCAAATACACAAGATGGTCGAGAGAAAAGAAAAAGGGATGTAAAACAAACTGAAACAAGTAGAGAAGAAAAAAACAAAAAAAGGAATGGACATGAATAAAACTGTCCCTATACATATACATATATATACATATATATATATATATATATATATAGTATCTCTTTGTCTTCAGTTTTACCCTTTGTGTACGCGCAAGAAGTTTTTTTTTATTTCCGTATACATACACTGAGGAAAGAGAAATGGTTAGGGGGATAGATCTGTGCAGAATTTTTTTTTCCCTAATTTTTTTTTATCATGAGGTCTTTTTTTTTTTTTTTTACATTCTTCTCTTTCTTCTTTTTTTGTTAATTTGTATATACATGAGGTCTTTTTTTTTTTTTTTACAGTGTTCACTTTTTTCTTTTTTTTTTTTGCTTTCCCATTTCATTTCCTCTTCCTTCAATGCCTCTTCTCTCGTTTGTTGATTTTGTTTTACTTCCCTTCTTTCGTTTACAGTTACTATATTCCCCCCAATTTTTTTCCTGTTCAATTAAAAACCCACGTGATCTCAATACATAATGTGCTTGACGTTCGCAAAAAACGAACAAAACAAGATGGAAAAGTGTGACGAACATCATCAATAAAGTGGAACAAACCGCAGCTACTTCATTTCAATTTAATGAGGTCGTGCATACAGGAAAAAAAAAAAGAAAAGGGGACGGAACGTACCCTGCAGAAGGATGAAAAGGAAAAATAAAAACGTATGAATGGGATGAAAAATACGAATCAGCGGCCCAATAGAACAAAAAAAAAAAATGACAAAAACGACAAATGAAATGCGAGAGAGCCCAGAAAGATATATATATATATATATATATATATATATATATATGTATACTCAAGCCCAGAGGTAAAACAAATACAAAAAATCAATCAAATTAATCAGAAAAAAAAAACAGAATAAGAGTTTCACTTTCTGACACATTATCAAAACGTATCTGTTCTCTGTTACCGTATACATATATACATATGTATACTTCAACCTTTGAAATATATGGATTGAGATAAATCAATATGATCAATGGCCCATTTTCCCTTTCATTCTCATTTAACCATTCATTTATTTTGTTTTCTCGATTATTATTTTTCTTCACTGACAGAAATAAACAGATGCGCGCACTTATAATTCCCTACCCTATATTTTTCCTATTTTGCTGCTCACTCCAAAAATTCAAATTCATACCAACTGCAGATGTACACACGCAGAAAAAAAAAAAAAGAATGAGCAACAAAAGGTTTTTTTTTTTTTTCTTTTATTTGTTCTTCAACTTCTCTGGCTTATTGATGTTGGTTAATGTTTTCTTCTCAAACCCCGTGCATCTGGGTTAACAATCAATTTGAGAACCTGAAATCTGGCCCAAGCCAAAACCTGTCACAATGTACCCTCATTCTCTTTTTTTTTTTTTTAGTCTTTACTTCCTCCATTTAGTCCTTTTTTTTCTCTTTTTTTCTTGATTTTTGACTTTATCCACAATCCTTTCTTTCATATCTTTACATGATGATATTTTTTCACGTCATTTTTCCACTGTATTTTTTCTTTTTTTTTTTTTTTTTTTTTCTCCCGGTTTGCCCTTTTTTCCGTTTTTTCTTTCCTCTCCTCTCCACCATCAATTATATATTTTTTTTTGCATTTTGTTCATTTTTTTTTTTGTTTTTGTTGCTGGTATTGTTCCTTCTTCGAAAGGTCTCCACCTACCTTTTCATTCCTACCGATGTTACTTTTTTTTTTTTTTTGCTTTTCCTAGTAGATATTTCGGGTACCGTGCTTCGGGGCATACATGCCTGGGGCACGTCCGCCGCGTGGCTCAACGGAGTCGGACTTGGAGACGAAGAGCATACCAGACTCCACTTTCCCCTGGGGTTGGCGTGAAGCGGCATCCGCTTGTGCACGTGGCTTTTCTTGAGCTGCCTTCTCTGCTGCTGCCCTTTCTGCTGCTGCCTTCTCTGCAGCTTGCTGGCGAGCCTTCAGCTGGGCGCGACCATCATCATAGCTCAGCAGATCGCTTGGGCGGTACGGCTTTGGCGGCTTCTGGGTCTCTGGTGTGGTATCAAAGATGTTTGCACCTCCAGTGCGCCTTGGGGCGCTTGCTCCGGGGTTCTTGCGGTGCACGGGCTCTGCATCCTCAGTTCCGCGACCTGTACCAAAAATATCGTGAGTCTCATTTGCATGAGTCTTCACGCGTGCGATGGTGGGACGCGGGCGTGGTGGAATAGGAGCTGGGGTGAATTGGCGTGGGCCTTTCACGACCTTGCGCTCCACCTCATGGAGTTGTTCACGAGTATACTGTCCGAGGTTGAGCACATCAACGGACTCATTAGCGCGGTTGCGGTGGAAGCGTGAGCGTGGGCCAGTGGTCTCCTCGTTTGCATCTGTTGGAAGCACTCGGGCGATAATATCGCCGCTGGAGTGCGACTTAAAGCGGCGTCTGCCGGTTTGGTGCGGGGGTTCAACGTACTGCGGTGGGAGTTCCGGTTCGCTGTACGGCGCCATCGTTGATGGTGGCGGTGCGTGTCCCGACGCCCGCAGCTTGCGGGGCTTCGCCTCCTCCGTCTTGACGCTGCAGCAGAGACCCTCGAGGTTGTCCTTCGGGCCGCGGTGGCGTCCGTGGTGGTGTCGCGCCTCCTCGTCGTCCTCTCCACGGCCGAGGATCCACTCCTCCGTGAGCGCCTTGCCGACCGTCGATACATTGCGGTCCTCGTAGCGACGCACGCCGTGCTTCACGTGGCCGGGCTCCTTTGGACCGGCGAGGAACTCCGACGGACTGTGCTCCAGCACCTTGCGGGATTGCTGCGGGGCCTCCTGCTGGGCCGGGGGCTTGCCAGCGAAATATCCGGCAACGCCAGCACCACGGTTGTGGGCAGCCGCACGCTGGCGGTGTGAAGGCTCAGTATTGACCTTCGGTGGTGGTGGAGGGTTGTTAGAGGCCAGGACACGCTCCTGTGCCGTGGTTGGGCGTTCTACCGCAGCAGCAGCCATTTTCTTGCTTCTTTTCTTACCTGATTGAATTCTACAGTAGTATTGATAAACAAAGGATAAAAAAAAAAGAATAAAAAAAAAAAAAATACACAGTAGATACCATATACAACAGTGGAAAACAAACATTACTTTTACTTCAACAGTTAAGCCCATTACAGAATAGGTAAAAAAAAAAAAAAAAACGATTAAATAAAGGATTAAATAAAGGATTATTGACACAGATCCAAAGAAAAACAGGGAAAAATGAGACGCTTCTCATACTATTGGATATCCCTGTTTCTCCGGAAACAGATGAGGAGTAACACCCGGAGCAAAAAAACCGGAAAGTGCATCCAGAGAGTTCCCGTTATGTTAAAGAAATGAGAGGAAACCACACACATATATGCGCATTTAATGACCAAGGCAAGAGA